AACTAAGCGTTAAGTATTCCAAAGTTGTCCTCGTGTAAGTAGTATCGCTCCTGGTTGTTGCAGCTGATACTTTCAATACTACGACCATAGAAGCGGCGTTTAAATTTAAATGTTTTTAAAACGCATAAAAGGCTGGTGTTAGCAGTACTTAGAATGTACGTATATATGTATCCAGACACGTATACGCTGACATGTAAATGTGTTGATTTGGGGAAAGAGGAGGGGTAGGAGAGGAAGTGGCTTTATTGTTGTTAACTGACATCGGATTTGATTTGATTTCTTTTATTTTTTGTTTTCCATTATTCTTTGTTGAATTTATTTATTTATTTATACGTATATTTTTTTTTTATATTCATTCACAAACAATATGATTTTTGCATGAATGCATGTTTTCATTTTATACACATTGTCTGTTGTTTATATTTTTAATTTTTGATTAAATCGTAGAGTCCCTCTCCCTATGTGTTTGTAAAGACTTTTTAAAAGAATGAAAGAACAACAAGAACAGCAGAAATTCCCAACACATTTATTGCACTTTTTTTTACTATTTGTTAGCAGGCATGTAAAAAAATTTAATCAAATGCTGTTAACACTAACGTACGTATATGTTTAATTAATCAGTTTGTTTATGTACGTACTTACACAAGGGCATGCATGAATTATGTATATATACATACACATCCGTTAACACTCGTTCGTTCACCAATGCAGCCAGGCACGTTTATACACGTTTATACGTACACATGACAAAAATTTCTGTTTTTTGTTAGTTTAATGAACGATTTTTAGTAAAAGTTTTTCAAAGTTCATTTACGTTTAGAATGCAGCGTTACATACTCATATTACAAATATATACATACAAGCATATTGAGGCCGTCCGCAATAGTTGTGGAAGTTGTAAGCTTTTTAGAAAAAAGACTTTCTACTAATAAAAAGCTTAAGAAATTTAGTAACTATTTGCCTTCAACGACAATCTTATCGTTATCTTGAGCCCAGAAAGTATAAAAGAAGTTCTTCAATGGCTTCAACTCTTTTTTTAAAATGATATATGTTAGGCAATTATAGGTAAATCACTAAGAAATTAGAGATCTGCTAAACTATATCATTTAATTTTTACGTCGGATAATTGGTAATTTTCCTGGACCAAACCGGATAACCCAATAATCTGGCCTACATTAATCAATTAACTCGTCTGTTATACTTTCGTACACACTTTAGTGATTTAACTGTATTTTCTTATAGAGGAAGATAAGTCATTTTTTTCTAACGTAAAATCAAAGCATCAACCAATGCTTTGTCAAGAATATTTAGGTCGGCTATATATTTACAAACTTCCAATAAAGTAGAGACCTCCAAATTTAAATTTCGAATGTTATGAGTTAATGCATATACTCGTTTTTAAAAATCATTTATGCAAACTTTGTTCGGGAAGTTAAAATCTTTTAAACTGTTATATATTCAACCTTCCTTTAATGTCCAAAGTGATTGGATTAGAGGAGACCTCCGTTATCTGCGTTCACTTGGTTTTTTTCTTGGAAAAGGCGGCTGGCATATGGAAATTATATGATTACACAAAAAATGTCAAAATGTATCACTTTCGAGAAATTTAACAAACTTATTGTGTGTTGAAAAAGGTCCTTTTTTCTCCAAGCTCAAAAGAGATATATTTTCTTGCTTTTTGTACATATTTTTATTTGAGTGTAATAAATAGCGTCTCCATATACCCCTAGCATTCGACAAACCAATTAATTACAAATATGTTTGTTGTTTTTATATCTATAACAACAAAAATGAAGAAATGTATTAAGTTTATTATTCATCTATGTAACACTGAACAATGCGTGCAAAGATCTAACTTATGCCTATGCAATAATTCGTTGAATCAACAGCTTGATAATGAGAAGCTAAGGTAAATTTTTATGAAAATTCTACTTGCAACTGCAAAGGAATTCATTTTGAAAATAAGCGGAATCCATTTTAGTTCCGCGTTAACTTTCCTTGAAAACTATGGTAATTTAAAATTCTCGCATGGCGATTATTGTACGACCATAAAATTTTTGATTTATTCAAAATTTTAATGAAAGGCGTTCCAGATGCGCTTCAAATTGAGTATCGTATTATCACTTAGCTTTCCCATTGCCCCTCACCTTTAAATTAAATTCACTGAACTCGATTATAAAATTGAAAACTTTCTGCTTAATGTACACTACAGAGAAATGTAGAATAGGGAGTGTATTAACTACTACTTAAAAATAGTAAAGCGATTTTCGTTTTATTTTCATCTAAATAAAACATCATAATATATAAATAGTGGTCCAATAGTAATAAAGAGTATAATATCGACATAGAGTGTTGCGCCGTGCGGTACTTTTCCTTCTAGTTACTTTTTATATTTCTATTTATCAAAGTCTATCTTATAACCATAAAACATGAGTTGCCATAAGAACGTTCACAGTTGAAAAGGGGACACCACCGTACATTTTTTAGAAAATCAATCCTTTTCTATTGGATTTGCACCTTCCAAAATACGGGAAAAAAATTTATTGCTGAAAAGAATTTTTTTGAAGTTTATAGTTGTGAATGCTTTTGTTAAGAAATTGAAAGTTTGCGATAAATAATTTAATGTTAATTATGAGTTCTGATATAGGTTTGCAGATTTTCTTGCTATTTTCTCGGTCGTTTTTCAAGAGGTGACGTGTAAAAAGTGCGTCTTTGGTAAACGCAGTAAGCGACAGGCTCTCCCATATTGTAAGCCTTTAAAAGTGTTTTTATTGAAACGCGAATCTTCAGATAAGTTCATTTAAGCATTATTTATTAACAAATAAATGCTGTTTTTACGTCACGTTGTTAAACTTTTCCTTTCTAATCAACCGTATGGCATAACAATAAAAAAAAGTATTTATAAGCTCGGTTTTCATCTAGTAGCAATTGATCCACTTTCTCAAAATGGACAACTAGTTTGGCATTTATTCTATATTTGCTTCATTTAATAAATATTTAGATTACCGAGTCTAACGAATTTGCTTTTACTTGTTTTTGTTACCATATCTATGATATTTTTCTCTCAAAGTTTAGGCTTCAGTTTTGCTCCTTACAGTCGACGCCGCTATGTGCACTGATTATGTATGGTATTATCTAGTTTACTTTTTCAATTTTCGCCGTTTTAGCTATAGCAAAAGAGATACAAGAAACGCTCTCTCAAAAGTGTCAAAACAGGGGATAATCACGTAGTTTAAAGTTATTTTCGGTTTTTGCCAAACAGACGAATACAACAGCGAAAAGTATATTTTTCATAGGTGATTATTCTCCAGACAGGTTATTCTACGTTAATATTGGTTGTTTAGAGCTGCATTTATAAGAGAAACCTCCCTTAAGTTGAAAATAGAATTAATTCCAAACGAACTTGTTAAATTACAAGCAGCTGAGCCAAACAAAAAAATTTGAATTTGTGAAAAGTAAATAAATTAATTCATTTTTATTTTTGCTTTTTTTTGCTCATGTGCCTAATTAATACTCTTAATTCGCCTAAGCTGGTAATCACTTACGTATTATTAATCTTTCCACACTCCGTCCTTGACTGTCGTTGTGAATAACAAAGCGCAAAAGATCAACAAATAATACAAACTCATCAGTCTGCTGGATAGGTTGGTGTTATCGCCAACTGTTCTAATCCTTTTTACTTAACAAAACAAAGAAGGGAAAAATTAAAGGTTGTTAATAAATAATCAAGTAATGTTAAAAAATACTTATACATTCGGCGGAATGATTCCTCTCCTCATATTATGTTATTTGATAGTAGACGAACATCAAGATTGGCAAAAGCGGAGTCTTGTAAAACGTAAAAGGGGTCAGCGAGGCGCTTCAAATCGTCCTATGTTACCCAAAAATGTCTAAGTAAATGTTTTATTATATTTGTTAACAACATAAATTAAAATATACATGTTGTTCCATGTAGACTTTTGGAAAACTTTTGCGTGTCACAAGAGGCTTTTGAAATCATTTTAGGAAAAATTGGCGTGAGTAATTTCCTGTTCTTTTCATGCAATAAACGACAACTGAAATAATCCTAATATTTATTGAAACGGTTAGACAGGCAGACAGAACTAATAATTTCGAAAATGAAGACAGTTTCATAAATTGAAAAGGCAAACAAAGGCTGAATAAAAGGGCGGTGAGTTAATCTATATACATATATGTTTTTGCGTACACACATATAAATATTTTATTGATAAGATTGGCGACCTTATGAATATTATGGCAGTAACCTTTTGATTTACTGGAACAAGGTAACTCAATTTAATGACGTTGTCAACGTATTGCTAGAGGCCTGAAAATTGAGGCGAATAAGTGAGGAAATAGGAACTTGCATATCTTCTGCACTTTTAAATTGAATTGAATGTATTGAAGTAAAACATATAAGGGATGAGTCTGCTCTAAGATGTTTTGTGAAAATTAAAATGTTTGCCTTTATATATATAATACAAAACTAGAATTTATTTGAAATTCGTTTCAAAACATTGTACATTCTTTACACGCAAATTCATAGGCCAATATATTAATATTATTATATAATAAATAATGTATTCTATAAAGTAAAAATAATATGATTTATAATCAAGTTCGCAATTCAAAGTTTTCTTAAAATATGAAATTATTTCACTTTATTTCATTTAACAAAAATTTTCCATAATGTTGTTTTGATTTACGTTTGTATTGTTTTTTTGTTCATTATATCATTTTCAACCAATGAATCTCATATTTGCCTCTCGTTTTCCCATTATATTTTCGAAGTAAATTATGAATGGTGAAGACCATACATGATTCACATTCAAATGGCTTTCAAAGCACGCCTTCACAATGAGAGCTACTTATGTAAACATACATAATCAGTATCATTGCAAGCATAGTATAGTTTGCGCAGTTGTGTACTTTGTTTTTACAGGTCAGTTGTTACACTTTTCTGCGATGTTATTAGTTAATAGTTAGCTAGATGGTCGTGTATTGAAAATAATTCACCGTAGTACAATTTCTGTTCTATCAGGATTTGCTTTTAAATGAAAATAAAGAGAAAATTCATTTACTTGTAAACATTGTTTTATAGACTTCGTATTAAGTAAGAGCTGTTAGTGAGTATAGTGAAAATTATCATAAAAATCAAAAGACATATAAATAGAGACAAAAATACATAAAAAAGCAGAAATTTCAATGGAAAAGACGAGCTGTCAATTACAAAATGAATTCAATGCACACATAAAAAAAAAAATTTGTTTTTTAAAAAAAATAAGAAGACGTTATTAACATCACTTCAAACGGTCAGAGATAAAAATTATTAATTGATAAGGAAAATTTGTTCAACCACTTACATTTAGGGATAATCGGTTGGTCACCACATTAACGAACTGATTACAGAGTAATTCTTCTTTCTTATTTTTTAAATGTTACAGGACAACTTTGGAAAGAAAAGTTGGTTTACTTTTATCCGAGTATCTTAAGAAACAAATAGCATTCATCTGTGTTATTAATATTCTTAAATTATTCTTATTAAAACGAAAATTTCAATTTGTATAATTGAACCACCTTTAAAGGAAGTGCGCGACTTATTATATATTATTTTAATAGAATTGTGATTTATCCAAATTAAAGCATTATGTTTATGATGAGTCTAAAGACTTCTAGCCCAGATTATGTGCCAAAAAAGCATTGAACACATTTATTTTGGAAGAAAGCGGCTTTGAATCGGATGATAGGAGTGGACGCGGTATGGTAATTTGAAGCTTCAATAATATTTAATTAGAACAAGCAATGCTTGGTAAACCCCTTGCGGTGCGCAACACATTCTTGTTTAGTACTGCAAATGATTATTGAATTAGTTGTATAATTTAGAGCTTAGGCTCATGAAGGTAAAAACTTGGTCTCTTATGAGGTTTTCGCATATTATAGTCGTTTCCTCTTTTAATATGCCATGTAGTAAGTCATGCGAAATTTGAAGGGAAAATTTTCCTTAAAGGCTCTTTTTCCCTACGTACTACAAGTCCGAAAGCCAGTATAAAGAGTATAAAAAATATATTAAATCAGTATAAACTAATTTTTTTTTGTAAATTTACAACAGATTTTGCTTTCAGAGCTGTTGCTTTCCTTATTTTCACGAATTCGGCCATTTTTAACAATAAAAGTACATAGTATAACTGTGAGGCTTTGTAGGAGCGCAACAAAATGCTTTAAATGTGGTTGTTGCAACTCGTTGTTTCGTCGAAAAACCTGTAAGGATTTATTCTTACGGTTATGTAAAGACACTTGCATGTTTGCAGGCGCTTTTGTTTGTTGCTATCGTATTTCAATCAACCGAAAGTGAGATCAGTAACGAAAAGGTCATGTCTTCTGCCTTCTTTTCTTTTTGATTACATTGGAAAGGCAAATTATCAACAATTGTTTTAAAATGCTAAGAAAATATTTCTTAAATGTATGGTTTTGAATGCATAGGAACCGGTCAAGCAAACTCTATGTTAACTGAAGTTAGCGGCTATCCTCTGACGGCTAGGCTAATGACATCTCGTTTAATTTCACCTCGTTTAATTTCACCAACTCAGGAAGATGTGAATATTTATATGTGAATTTTTTAGATGGCGGTCAGTTAACAAAGAAAATTAAATCCAAAAAAATTTTTAACGTTTTTCCTTAAAAATTTTTCATTTCCTCATGTGTGAGTCAGCAAATCAATAGCAGATAGCTTGCTGACTTGAGCGAAAAAGGTTCAATGTGAACACGAGAATATTTTGTTTCAATTTTACTAAAGTTGGCACATAGTTTGATTATAAATGCGTATAGATATATACATGTAATGCATATTATGACGTCCACCATGTAACTAAAATGTTCTTATTTTATATAATTATTTAGACTTTTGATGCGAAATGTTATGGGATTTTGTTCTTCTTCAAATAATTACAAGATGACGCAGCGCAGAGTGAATTTCTTAGTGTGCGAAGTGCGATGCAAGAGTGTATATGGACCTGAAAAGTTGCGAAAGTAAAAGACCATGTGAAGGAGTAAATTTATGGTTTGGCTGTGGATATTTAGATGTATTGTTGACAAATTTTCAAAAAAAGAAAAGACAGCGGTGTAAGCCGCGTAAATGCAAAATGCCATAAACGTTGTGATCTTAAAGACCAGAGCTGCTCACTATGTTCATTTTGCACAGCTGTGCATCACGTTTGGTTAAACATCAACATGTCAATAAGTCAAATAATGTCCCGTATGAGGTCATAATAGGTAAACTAAGGTGCAAGAGTACAAATTGCAACCATGAATTAAATTATTCCAGCAATGTTGCCTAGAGAAGACTGACAGCTTCTTGTCGATTGCCCTAAAATCAATGGGAATGAGAGCACGATCATTGATATGTGATGATCTGGAAGATCCAATATTATCAGCAATGGTATGAATACCCATGGGACCGGGCACCCAGAAAAAATGGAAACCAAAAGCATTAGATTTGAGGATATAGTAAATATCTGATTTCTTACCCATAGGGGTGAATTTTACCTCAGGCAAGCGATTTCAAAGGGGATAAGACAGATAGAATTTTTTTAGAAGTAAAATTGGCGTGTAAACGAAATCTTTCGGGTAGAGGTTTAACACTTGCCATCTATGAATGAAATGAATTTCAAGGCACCAGGGCCATGACATTTGAATGAAATTTGAGTAATTTCAGAAGATGCATAGTTGAAATGTCCAATAAGAGTGAGCAAACACATTCTAGTTTTAGTCTTACTATCCCGGAATATAATTTGATTATATAAGAGCAGTTGGAATCCCATGAGGTGCCACAAACAGATCTCAGGACGTTAGTTAGCTGGAAGCATTGTTGAATAATTTTATTAATGTGAGCAAGAGCAAAGAGGTTACATTAAAGAACAAAGCTTAAAAAGTAAAAAGTTTTTGGCAAATGGTATACTGGAGTCATATATGAATTGTGAAGTAATAATAGAGTCTCTTCTTTTTTTGAATCCACGTACTTAGGCTTATTTATTGCGAGTGTGAGCTGGAGAGACTCAATGTTAGATTGTATGGCCGCACAATTCTGGGTGGGAGTGAGAAGAAGGGAGTTGAAAATTTCGTTAATATACTTAGAAATTAAAAATATATACACAAAATGGAAAAATTTTTGCACATTTGCAATGGTTTGGGAGCTAACAACGATTTATGTCAGTTATGGGTGTGGCTCTGTGCTACATGTCTACATGCTTTTCTTTCAACTTTTTTTCTGCGTTTATTTGAATTTTCTTCTTTTTATTTTCTTATTTTTTCTCTATTTTTCTTTAAATACTTTTTAATCGTTATTGATAAAATTTAGCATATATTTACTTCTAATAGCCAATTAAATTCGGCTGTTAATATATGTTAACTGAATTCCATGCATAAATAAACTAAATAAATAAAAACAAAAAGTAATAATAATAAAACAAAGAGAACCTAGCACAGAGCCCTGAGGGACATCTATGAAGGTTCTCCTATGTGCGATGACCATGTAGTAAAGATTATATAGTAAATTCCGGAATTTGATAAGGGGATTTAAATAGAGTAGGAGAGACTTTAAAATGTTAGGGTTAACAGAATGAAAAGCTGATGTCATGTCCAAAAAGCAGGCAAAGGATGAGTTGATTGCAGACGACAACACGATGTTGTCTTGGACGGATTTGGATGGCCTAAAACCAAATTGGAAATTGCATTCAGATTCATAATACGACTCTAGGTGCAAGTATATTTTTTCGAAGAGCTCCCCAAGGGCGAAACTATGGCAATAGGCAGATTATTTTTTTTTCTTAAGGTGATAACTTGGAAGTTATATCTCTATGTTCAACGCCTTGGGATGACTGTTACGAATGACATTTGAGCTTGGAGATGTCTCTTTAACTGCTTTATTGAGTTTGGAGAAGGATATTACATCTAAAAAAAATTATCGCGTTGTTCATCGTGTGATACAGAAGGCATTACAGAGCTAGAAAATACAGGATATCGTTACAGAATTCATTAAAGAATTTAGCAGACAATGGGAGAAAGTTATACTTCTAAAAATTTTGATAGTACGCCAAAGACCTGAAACTGATATTTCACTATTCACATTACCACAAAATTTTTTCCATCCCTTACTTTTTTCAATCTATACTATATGTGTATTCGTTTCTAACGTCGGTCAAAGCTTTGATTGCTTGCAATATTCCACTAGAAATTGAGACGGTGTGAATTTTTTGAAATTTTTTGATTCAAAGTATTGATGAAAGCCACAGAGAAATTGCCAAAGAAACAATCTGACGGGCGGTTGACTTGGATGGTATTTGATATATTACGTACAAGATTGTTAAGAGTAGAGTTTGACATATTTTGGAATTCCGGTACGTGGGAAGCGGCGGACAGTGGGGTGTAAGTGAAGACCAATTTCAATTAGACAATGAAAGCTACCTAGAGCATCGTTACGAATGCTCAATGTACTCAAGAAACCAAGGCTAGCTATACAGATCGAAACATCTCCAGTTGAAAGTTCAGTTGGATCGTGTAGTTTCATTATTGACAAGAAATGAATTAGTGAGCTAAGCAAAGGATAAGTGCTGATTAAAATTTTTTTTTTGAAGAATGTGAGATAAACGAATAGCGGAGGGAATAATAGGGTTTAATTTTAGAGAATATTTGTCACTTTGCAATTTATCTACAAGTCAGAAACCTGAGATGTTGAGTTGAACATATTGATAGGATCGGTAATCATTTCACGATCTAACAATTTTTTATTTGTTATGAATACCGCAGCTTCAGGATTTAAAGACTTTATTTGGTAGAAAGACAGTATCGCTCGATTGAATCGTTTAACAGTGGCGCGTATATGCCAGGGGGGCAGGCTAAGGGAGCTTTCAAGTGAAAGGAAGAAGTTGGAATAAGAACTCTGACAGAAGGAATAAACCTGAGATTTAAGGTGATCTGCAGCGTCTTTTTTGGATTTTAAAAATTTTTTGACGCCACAAATTGGGCAAATAGGCAATGTAATTTTTGTTAACTGAAGAATCAGCGACAATTGAGTTTGCCCTAGATGCCCGAGATAATTATCTTGATTTTTTGATTTAGAAATAAAAAAAAATTCTGTATTGGAGAGGTGTTGATATAGATTCTATTATAGGTAAAGGGTTACTTTTACCTTGAATGAACACAGAGTAATCACATCTATTACGAGCGTAGACTCTAACCCTGGGAATTCTTAGATCGCCGTCCGCTGACGAGATGGTACGGACTTTTGATCAATCCATTTTTCGCAGATTGTGTAAATATTTACAGACGCGAAAAATTGGTGTAATTATGAACAGCCAAATGATGAAATTTGGGAAGAGTAATGTCGAAGCTTGGTTGAAAAGAATCGATCGATGGACGGACGGTGCCGCTGTAGCTTCTCCTTTTCTTAAATTTCTTCAATTTCAGGAAAATTCAGAAAATTATTTATTTCTTATAATTTATTTTGGAGTCTTATTTTCTAATTTTTTCTTTTGGAGAAAAATTGAATGCTTGAAATTTATTATTCGAATTGTTCATTTATATTTGCTTCTTTTACTTATTTTTTTTTATTTCTTTATAGATTTGAAACATTTGCGGCGCCACGAAAAAAAAAAAAAATGAATTCTAGTAGAAATACGTTCCTCATGACTTCCACGTAGAGTACTATTCGGAATAATAGATCTGTAAAGAATTCAAAATTTGCTTATGACTACTGTGATAGCTTTAAGAAGCATTTCGAGTTATTTTAACTACGTCACCAAAAATATCGTATTGCTAATATTTACTCTGTTTGTTAGCATACCAGCAGATATTTTAATTCAAATTTGAACCGTCAGCTAAACCTTCCCAAAAACTGAAATATATTGAGTCCCTAATGCCGAGTTCGATACGTTTAACGTTTCGAGTTCGGAGCCATAATCGCTTAATTGAAAAGTTTGCGCGACGACAGCGATATGGCATGCTTATAGTTAAAAAAATTATTTTATTTTTTAACATCGACCCTGCTATGGTGAACACTTCTGCCGAAAATTTTATAATTTTCTAATGCCATCCCTAAAGTAGTGCTCTGGAAACACTTTGAAATGCTTATGTACACTTGTTAGTCTTCATTCGCTTGTTCAAAGATGCTAATCACGAGAAAATTTTTATTTATTTGGGAATGGAAAAAATTCAAAAAAAGTTCCAAACCTTTAGTTTGGCACAATTTTTTTTGTTAATGTAATTCTTTTCTCATAAATTTCGACCAACTTGGGTCAAAAAGTGTGAGCAATACTTCTAAGTTAATACGTAGATTACCAACCTTGAATTAATAAATTAGTGTAATGGTGTTGATTCCCAAAAAATTCATACAATACTTTTTCTTATCCGTTTATGATTATCTCGATTCATCTTAGATTTAAAAGTCGCATAGATGAAAGTGAGTCCGTGTCTTACATTTACTTAGCTTTTCAGATCCGAAAACTATAGGGGACCGACTGCCTCGAATCTTCATCTTACTTGTTCCTAATTCTCTTTTTTACACGATCAATAACCCATTCGATCAGCTCTTAACCCCACTTAACTGATTTTCTAACTTAGCATAGCGATTTTCGAATGTTCAACACTCGAATTATATTTTGTTTTAAGTGGTAATAAAAGTAGCAATAAAATTTTGCAGGTTTTTTATGAGCGAATGCACAAAAAGATAATTAAAATAGATAAATAAAAAAAAAAATAGAAAAATTTTTCGAGAATGTTTTCAAAACGTTATCGGAAATTTACCAAGCAAGCAGGTCCCACCGTATCTTCCGTACATAATTTTATGCATTACCAAATCCGCATTCAAAAAATTTTTTGAAACAATATTTTATTGTGTAGAATTTGGAAATAAAATAATAAACAAGAGAAACAATAAACAAATACAACCATGAACCAAAGAGGATCTTTTCAGGTTCTTATCCTTCATTTATTTTTTATAATTTTTAAACAAGGCGAAGGAGAAAACAGGTTTGTGTTCTTGTGCATTTATAAGATGTACCTATGCTAATATTATCTTCCCTCTTAATATCATAAACATAAAGCGATCAATGGGTTTGTACTCCAAATGATTATTGTGTTATTGATGAAGCTGCCAATGTGGGCGACGTAAAGCGTTTCGAAAGCCAACACGACTGCCGATTGTCATGTGGTAAATACGGCGCTATTTGGCCAATGCCGACTGGTGACTGTGTGCTTGGCCATGAACGCATTCATTTTGATCCGTGGAAAGTACGTTTCAATATTATGGCTAATAGCTCATGGACCAAGCAATTTTTACGTGAGACGAATCGAATCTTTGTAAGTAATATTATCAAAGAATGTTTACGAAATTGCACAGTCGAGAGAAGTAAAGAAATTTTGGTGAGGGTAGCCGTGAATTCTACAAGTCTAACATTAGATTGGGAGTCTGATGAATCGTATAAGCTAAACATAAGGACAACAGGTAAAGAGAGATGATAGACAGTGAGAAAATTGCAGACTATGAAATAATTGCTATCACAAATTTTGGAAGGCGCTGCTACCTTTGTGGATATTAAAGCTGAAACTGTTTATGGAGCCAGACATGCTTATGAGACACTAAGCAACGTTATAACGGGTAGTGCAGCGTAAGCTTTACACTCAATAACATGTTTCAAATATTTCAACCACATTTGGTTCTGTCTTTAGTAATGGCTTGCTAATGATTAATTCAGCTAGGATACATGATCGTCCGATATATCCCCACCGCGGTGTGTTGTTGGACACAGCACGAAATTTTATACCGTTACGACAAATACGTAATACTATTGACGCTATGGCATCTTCAAAACTTAATATTTTTCATTGGCATGTGGTGGATACACATAGTTTCCCTCTAGAAATTACTAGAATCCCCGAAATGCAACGGTATATTTATAATTTATGACACTAATATGAATGAAATACGTTTAATACATGTAGATTCGGTGCTTATTCTCCAACCAATGTCTACACACGGAGTGAAACTATTAATATGATCAAGTATGCTCGCTTACGAGGAATACGTATTCTGATTGAAATCGATGGTCCTTCGCATGCAGGCAACGGGTGGCAATGGGGCCCTATGGCAGGTATGGGTAATTTAGTCGTGTGTGCTAATCAAAAACCTTGGCGTTCATACTGTGTACAACCGCCATGTGGACAGTTGAATCCTCTTAACGATAATATGTACTCCGTAATGAAAGAGATCTATGAGGATATAGCCGAAGTAGGTGCACCTGAGGAAACGATACATATGGGAGGAGATGAAGTTTTCATACCCTGCTGGAATGCTACCGAAGAGATAACCCAAAAAATGCTTGCAACTGGCTTCGATTTGAGTCTACAGAGTTTCTATAAACTATGGTCCATATTTCATGGTAAAAACGTAGAATCATGGGATGAAGTAAATCAGCGTCAATTCCCCTACATAAAGGAACCAAAACCAGTTATTATCTGGTCGAGTCATATAACTGATCCCGAAATAATTGAAAACCATTTGCCCAAAGAAAGATTTATTATACAAACATGGGTTGCTTCAAATTCCTCTCTGAATCCAATGCTTTTAGACCTAGGCTATAGAGTAATCAAGTCTACTAAAAATGCCTGGTATTTGGATCATGGTTTCTGGGGACGCACTGTGTACTACAACTGGGCTACGGTTTACAATAATAAAATGGAATTGCACCCGAATGTACTGGGAGGAGAGGTCTGCATGTGGAGTGAATATGTTGATGAATTTGGTGTTGGTAAGTATTAGCACACCTGACGTTTTACTTGAAAGAACTTAAATCTGATAAATGAAATTTGTGAATGCGAAAGAGAGCCGTATATGGCCGCGAGCTGGAGCTGCTGCTGAACGTTTGTGGTCTAATCCAAAGTCTGGTTCATATCAAGCACAATATCGCTTCTATCGTTATAGACAACGTCTTATTTCAAGAGGTATACGACCTGACGCTATAATACCGAAATGGTGCATTCTGAATGAAAATCATTGCATGTAAATTTTCTGTTTTCCTTGCAATATGTAATAAAATCAGAAATTAAAGGAAGTTTTACATAATAAAAATTTTTTACTTTAAGTAACCTAAATCAACGGCATGTTTGAACATATCTGCTATACGTTGCCTCTTCCTGGCATCCTTGAACGGCTTTATATTCCATATATCGCTTAATGTTTTATCTGCGGTTATCTCGTCCAAATCCTTAACTTCGCCATCTTCTATCATCGACAATGGCAAAGATTCAATGCCCATACCACAACCAAATCGGCCCATATTCTTGACTTCTTTAGTCAATTCAGACCAAGCTAAGGCTTTTTCCGAATCTGCTCCCAAAGCGCTAATTGTTTTGCTAGCACTCTCATGATAAGTTTTTAGTAGAGTTTCATAATGACTGTCACGCAAACTTTGGCTAACACAAGAATACATAAAAAAAGAAATGTCCAAGGCTAAAGAAGCAAAACGTGCCAGTTGAAAATCTATCATTATAACGGCCTCCACTCTGCCTTCTGGAGAGCAACGCGTTAGAAAATTGGGTGTCCAACAATCACCATGAGTGACAACGGAAAGTTTCGCTACAAATTGAAATGAGTTTACCTTTTTGGTGCAAGAAAAGATACGATGAACTTACATCTTGTTGATACCAAGCTTATTAAGTCATCGTATAAATTTTCTTGCAGAAAATTATCTGCTATTGTTTCACACTTTGTGGCCGGAAAAGTTTGTTTTACAGCATCCCGAGCCACTACAGAAGCACATTTTAAAAAATCTTTATACCACGACCGGTATTTTTCAGCAAAATATGTTTCCTGAAAATATTACATCAATTTTATCTTCCTATTCTCAATCCACATATGTGGATATCACTAAATCTATATTTTTTGATCAGACTTTTCTTAGATTTTGAGTCAACTTAACTAGCTTTACCACTCATCAATTTCGTGGATTAATAAAGTTGCCATAGGTACAACTTGGCTAATGTACATCAATTTCATATTTCAAGATAGAAGATGGGCATTAAAAATAAAGTAAATCCACTTGAAAAATTATTTTGTTAATAATTGATGTCAATATGAAAGTTCACTCAAATTAAACAAACAATATATATAATCGGAATTAAATTTATCCCTAAGATCTAGGAATATAAGCGTAGTCTCACTGAAAACACAACAAGGGTGCGTTCATATAATTTATAATTACTTAAATATTTTAAAAATGTGCATATATATACATATATACATATATATACATATATACATATATATACATATATATACATATATACATATATATACATATATATACATATATATATATATATATATATTATATAAATTGTATAAACACGCCTTCGTTGTGTTTCAAGCGTAAAAGTTTACTGCTGCTCCGTAAGGAGTAGCCCGAATACGAAGTCGGCTATAAAATTCGAGTAGATGCTTTAAATGCTGTTGCATCTGATTCGAAGCGCTCACTTTTAAGTATTTGCAGGTTTCTTCGAATTTCTCAGGTTCTAGCTCATTAAATGCCAATGAAATGCCATGAAAACGGCCCAATGTGCTCATTGTTAAAAGGCATTCTTCCAGACTAATGCACTCTTGCCGAATAGGAGAACTATAACCAAAAACATTTACATCTTCTAGAGCAATAAAATCATTTTCACCATCACAGTATGACACGTAACAAATAGGGTACTCTCTGAAAGCACGTTGAGGTGAGTGTCGTTTTTGAAATTGTTCCCATGCAGGTATAACATAGGTATAGAAATTTATTTCATTGCGAAAGAAATCCGCTGAACGGAAAACTGCCCGTCTTGCCATATTTTGAGGCATAGCCTTAACAATCAGATGTACTTCCACAGTTCTACTAAAAGAACAGAATAGCTATGAAGTTTGTATATTCAATATTGACAGCTATCTCTTGCTTACCCATTATCTTCGTTGAGACCATAAACGCTTAAACGAAAAACTTTGCTAAGATACGAATCACCTTTTTTAAACGTTTTACCAAATTTATAGGAAGTATATATACTACCGCCTGCTTTCTTAATAATTTCTGTTAGGGTAATCTCGGTGAATTCTTTTGAAATATCCGTTAAACTCATGTCAAATACTACAAACAAATTACTAACAGAAAATTATATAAAATTTTTGCTCGATTACCAATCTTTATATATATATTTTTATATATATAAATATATATATTTTTTTGGTTTGTATGAAAAACATGAAAGTGGCTTGTTATCTTACAAGCCCATAATCCACTAACGTAATTAAAGTTTTTTATTTCGTAGTTTTAAGAATTTGTTTATATTTGATTATATTAATATATTTGATGATTTATAGGTTATGTTTGACGCATTGGTAATGAAATTGGTTTTCTTTAATCGGTAACAAAATTGGCTGCGTATTCACAAACCACAGAATCTTACATTGAATATAAAGAGTACGCACAAATGGCAACATTCCGCTGGACTTGCCAAGCCATCTTTTTTTATTAAAACAAATGAACATACAAGGCATGCACAGAGTCAAACGATGTTGATGTTTTACATTGATTTCCTTATTTTTACTTCTCAGATAATCTGGTAAGTTAAGCGAATGCGACCCATTTTGTTAATTGCTTTCAAACTAATAAGATGCAGAGATGAGCAGAGATATCTGTTTTTAGCCTTGCAAAATAAACTTGAATGAATTTTATATTTATCTTAAGATAAGCGTTCTTCCTGGCAGCGCACAATAATTGATAAGAAAAACAATATATAATTTTATGCCATATCGAGAACAAGAGAAGAGACCAAACTCGTAAGAAAATATTTGTTTTAAGAATTCCCGAAACTGGATTTCTAATATTTACGCTATGGTTATTATTTAGGACATCATCGATGGTAATTTTGATTTATTATTCGAAAAATTAACTATAAACTGCAGGCATTTTTAATTGTTTTTCGCATAAAAAAGCAAGGTACTTGCCAATTCCGTCAAATCTCAATAAAATCTTTGCGCCCGGAAAATATTGGTAACTGCGTAGTTTTGTTTTGCTATTGACATAAATATTTAGTTAATTGCGCCACATTCATGGTCAAATTTTGTCAATTTCCGATTTCAATGTGGCGAGAATGATAAAAAAAAATTTGATTAAAGTTTACTCTGAATAAAGTTTTCTATTCGTAACTACCGTAACTACAACTATCATTTAAGTAGATTCTGGTAAGAATTTAACGAGATTGCTAGCTATTTTTTGAATATTATTTCGAACACATCTATATTCTTGGGTTTTCAACATTTTCCGTCCATGCAGGTTTATGTTTAATAATTTATAACTTACTTCCCTCGTAAAATATTTGCTTTGTTGCCATCAAATGTTACTAAGTTCAATTTACTTCGTAGACAAATATTTAATGAAAACAACTAGGGATGCCGCTATCTTACAGTCTAGAAGAAGAAAGTACAACATTACGCGACTACGGTCAGTGATCTTAGATAGTAGCAGCGGAGAGCTAAATATATACAGCACCCAAGAAATGTTTCAAAATAAGGGGACGGTACAATGCACAACAAAAATTAAGGCCAACTTGTTTTAAATTTAAAAATTATTTATGTACCTTATGTTAACTTTAAGTAGTGTACATTTTCTTTTATATTATATGATTTCCAAATTGGGTTTATACCATGCATTATTTTATAAAAAATGAAAATCAAGCAACAAAAGCCATTAATTTTAAAGTTGAAATGTATTCATGAAATTGTTTTATTAGAGAGTGATAAATGGTAACTAACTAAGAAAATTCAAGAATAAGAATTATAGGTTTGTTTTTCATGTTGACGTTGATTTCCTTATTTTTGGTTCTAAAACCATTTTTGTTTATATTTTCCTGTGAAATAATATGGTAGCGTGGCTCCCCATTGTGTTTACCACTAGGTAGTTTTTAACCGGAAAACGAAAATTATGCTTCAATGCGCCAGCCCCCACTAAGTGTTAGTAAAATGTTAGGGATATTGTAAGATATCTACGATCTAATATTAACAATGGTAGTAGAGCTGCTAATTACCGCTTTCTGAATTGCTTGCTGTTGCACGCTCAGTATTTGTATTACAAAAACTGGTTTAAAGTGTTACACAGTATAAAAAGCTTATAAAGTAAATGTGCATAGACTTCTGTGTTTTTCAGTGGTTATGCGGTATGATATTAGTATAAGTGTGTATGTACAAAAAAAGCAAAAGCTAGATAGACAATATAACTTTTTATCATCTTATCTTATTTCATACTGAAGAAATCTTCATTGTATCTTTGCCAAACGTCTCAATAAATTGCAATGAAAATTTTCGGTTCAAAAAGTGTGAAAAAATTATTTATTATTACACAGCGTTACGTTGTAACAACAATTAATTTTATTAAATTTACTTATCATTTACAATATTGTTCATGAGTTATTGTACAGGCCGCGTTATCTATTTATTTGACATGACCGGTTCCCCAGAAAATACTGCAGTTAATATTGTACCCATAATATATACAATCTAACCACAATTAATAAAAAAATACCCGCTCTTTATCATTGAATTGTTTTTTATACCCATCACCGAAGGATAAGGGGTATATTCATTTTGTCAAAACGTTTGCAACGTCTAGAAGCAAGCATCGGAAACCCGCAAAAAAATATCTATTCTTGATCAGCCTCAAATTCTAAACCGATTTAACCATATCCTTCTGTCCCTCTGTACAATATCTGCTGTAAACATTTTGCTGGCCGCAAAATTGAAACCATCACCTTCAAATTTGGCAGAAACATTGGAAGTCTTTGCACGCGGGCTGGTATTGAAAATGGGCTAAATTGGTCAAAAGTCACGCTCACAGCACCACGTAAACTGAGAGCAATTGCTTTTCAAAGGGTTTGAAAAACTGGGAATTTCTTCATAACTAATAAATTATACCAAATAAATGTGTAAAATTTTGAACCCTTATTCTATGGGCAATGCTGTAGCAATTGTGCACAAAAGTGGAAAAAATACTCAATATTGTAGTGTAAAAAGATTAATTTGATTTTTCAATACCTTTATAACGCGCAGAAACTATCTTCAAAAACCCTATAAACTATATATATTCTTGACAAGTTACAACTCATGAAAGTACCTGAACATATCCGCTTGTTCGTCTGTCCATCTGTCTGTTTGCGTAACTTTGTAGTATTTGTGGTAAACATTCTCCCATTAGCGAAAATGAATATATCGCTGAAAAATTTGCAAAAGAATTTGGAATTGACCTAAACTTTTCAAAGGAGACGCCTACAACGCCCACATGCCTCGACGACAAAAGCTTTTATTTTGAAAATAGAATAAATCAATTGCGCCCACTTTTATTATAGAGCATGAGAATTTTGTTCTTTTATCTTTTTTTGGGATAAACGGTGATGAGTATAAAAAATTGGGTCGCGATCGAATTTAATTTTCTTACTTGTCCTTTCTTCGAATAGTATATTCTAAATAATTGAATCCAAACCAAAGCAAGTACAACACAGATTTTTCGAAAATAATACTATTGGCATTAATCCACAATGTTTACATTATTATTTTCTGAATGTCTACGTCTTCGTTTAATAACTTTTTAAGTTCTTTCTGCGCAAATATTGATTTTATAATAGTTAAAAGAAGTTAATGACTTTTTTTAAATAGACTAATTTAGATATGTTTTTTTTGGCCTTGCTAAACCTATCACATTATACCATAGCCATATGAAAAGTAAAAGCCAGAACACAAAAAACGCGGAAGGGGAATTGAAGACAGTTCATTTTGCACTTGGAATTTAGTTATCTTATTACTGTTTATTTTGTACTAATTTAAGTCTTGAATGATATAACACAACGTTTAAGATGTTGGTTTATAAATTAATTTATTTCGAAAAAATAATGGGAAAAAGAAAGAAAAATGACGTTCGTTTTTTTACAATGGCACAATAATGGAATCAATAACAAAATCATACAAACGTAAATAAAAACAAAACTATGTAATATTTTTGATAAAGTTACGAAATAAATTCATATAATTTATATAATTTCATATTTTCATTTCTTAGGAAAACTTTGAATTGTGAACTTCAACTTCGAATTTCAAAATATATCTTTTCATTTTTATTTTATTTAGTATATTAACATTTGTAAATCAATCCCAGTTTTGTATTATATCATACGCCAACTTCTTAATTTTCATAAAATAAGTTAGCTAAAAACATCGAAACTCGATAAGGAAACCAAGTTAACACCAAACATAATTAGTGTCCGAAAATACAGCTACTTAATGTGATACGTAATCAGGGCACTGATTAGCAATTTTAGTTGCCTGGCAGTTTTATTCTGGCATTGTCATCGCTCAGCTATCATAGATTTGTGCTTATGTTTATCTGTCATCCTCATTGTCAGTTTGTATTAATTTTCGAAAATGAAAGCAAATTTTTCGAATAGCAAGACAGCGGGACTAAACCGATGATAAAAGTTTCGTGATCGCGTAACACTTTCCAGTCATTTCCTTTTTTTCATATGTAAAAGAAAAAGCAAAGAAAAGACAGAACATTTTTTTTTTATGTAATTGTCGATATCAAAATCCGAAAAATAAATTGTTCTCCTATTTGATAAATAAACGAACAAATCAACTGTTTAGACACTTAATTTATTTCAATTATGAAAAAGATTAATTAATGATATAGAAATAATCAAAAATTTATAGTGAAAATGCTGTCGCTATATTACTTCTTTTCTGTTCTCACAACCATAAAATCAAAATACAAAAATATTGTCAAAAAAGATTATTAATATTGCGATCGATGATATGCAATAGCTAGCTTCTACTCCACACGCCCATATAATATGGTTTCTCACTTTACTGAAGAAATCGATGCTTTTTGCATAAATTTATAAGTTTGAGAAGTATGCACTTTAATTAAGTGCGGATACAAACTCTAGGCGATTAGTCTTGAAAATTCCTTGAAAATTTACGAAAATTAAGGTTAACATTCATTTCCATTGATTCTTAATTATAGTCAAAATCGAAAGTTTTTAAGGATGGTCCATCTGACCCAGATCAATCCCATTGGATGTTGGTAAATTCTTATCATCATCACTCTCCTTGGTGGTTTTTCTCACAAAATCAATCAAAGTCATTTTGGCTTGCAGTTTTATCCATGCACTCGTTTGATATAACTTTTCAAGTTACAGTGAGAACTTAGCCTTTCGTGGCATATCGCACATTTGCAATCTCTATGTACTCTCCGCACATGTTTGAAGAGGGCGGTACTTAGATTGAACGTTTGGATACAAAATTCACATTGATGTATCGTTTGCAGATAGGGTTTTAAATAAGTTTGTCTTCTGGACAACGTTGACACATATATTCCATGAGTTTTAGCATTGGATGCATCGTATTCTGTTAATAATTTGAGGGAATGCTTATTCATTGCTCTTCGCATTATTTCCAACAGTATTAGGAAACATTTTGTCATCAGCAAGGGGACGTTGCCGTGTAAAACCAAAAGCGTTCTTTAAAAGGTTGGACTATGTAATGAGGCTTAAGCAGGGCTTTTCCTGGCTAGCTCACTTGCCATTACCACAAAGTAAAAAGAAAATTATTCTATACTTTTTATACAGATATTAATGATCTTATATCCATATCTCTCACCTCTTAGTCAGTCAATAGTCAATACTAAATCTTCTCTTAACTCTTTTCTTCCATACTACT